AATCTCGATCCTAGTAAAGATAATCTAGATAATATAAAATATATTCTTTTTATTTTTTTTATTGGTTTTCTTAATGCTTATTTTATACGTTACACTCCTTATTATTTTATAAAACTTATTTACTTTATTCATTTCCTAGTGGAATTTGGTTTTTTTTGCTCCTAAACGTAAATTTTATATGTTTTCTCATTCAATAAAAAATTCGCCTAATACATCAGACACCCTATATAATTATTTTATTCATTTTATTGGACTTATTTTACTTATTTTTACTTTCATAGCAGTCACTATTTATTGTATAATATATATTCTTGGATTTGTAGGAATTTCTTCTATAATTATTTTTAGTTTTCCTTTTCTTGTAGCATTTATTGGTGTTGAACCAATTTTTCTTTTGAAAATATACATTCTTTGTATTCTATTTGTTCTTTTTCTTTATTTTCTTTATATAATTGGTGCATTTGATTCTATTTATCGTTATTATTTAGGAATTCAAGCATATCATTTTTCCAATGCTTATCTAACAGGATTGTTTTATTATGAACAAAATGATGTTACTGCATTCGAATATGCACAATTATCAGCCGATATGGGAAATTCTGAGGGATTATTTCGAGTTGGTTATCATTATTTTAATGGAATTGGTGTTATTAAGGATTATAAAAAAGCATTGTAAATTATAAAAAATCCGCAGAGAAGGGACATGCCGGTAGAATGAATGAAGTTGCTGCATGCTATCATCATGGAGTTGGAGTTGAAAAGAATAAATATAAAGCGTTCGAGTTTTATAAAAAAAGCGCTGAAAAGGGACGTAATCTTGCACTTAATCATCTTGCTTATTGTCATCGAAATGGAATTGGAGTTAAAAGAGATCTAGTAATAGCCAATAAATATTATAAAAAGTAATATTTTTTTTCTAATTTAGCTGATATTTTATCATTTATTAAGACATTATATATCTAATAAAATTTATCTATATATTAATTAATTAGGGTAAAAAATCCCCTTTTTTAGGTAAGTTTATTCCTATTAGTAATAATAATATCCTGATCCGTTGGGTATTATTAATTAATACTCCCGTGATCTTGAATAGTGATCGGGGTATTATAATTATTATAAATTCACTATAATAACAAAATATCTAAATTATAATATTCAAGACTACAAACTTATTCATGCAACTATGCTAGCCCTATGGAAAATTTTTACTTTTGAGAAGCTTCCTGATAGCTACTTTCTAACTGCCCTTGAACCACTTCTAGATGATTCTGCCAATCTCTATATCGAAATTCAGGACCTTTCATTGTATTCAAAATTAGCTAAACATGCACCGGCATATAAAAATCCAAATATTAATGACGATTTGAAAAAAATGTTAATTAAAAATAAATTCAATATTCCATATATCCCTTTTGAAGAATTTGCGAACATTGAAAAAATAGGAAAGGGAGGATTTGGAACTGTATTTTCAGCTCAATGGCAAGGTAAAATTTTTTTTTTTCTGTGGGGAGGTGAAGAGCCAATAGTTCCAGTTGCGCTTAAAGTAATTGAAGAATCAAGCAATTGTCATGAAAAATTTACTAGTGAGGTAATGTTGGTTAAATGATTTAACAATTTATAAATAATTAAATTTTTATTAACATTCTAAATATTTATTTTTTAACAATAAGTTGAAAAGATTTCATGATATTGGTCATAAATATCCAGCTTTTTTGCAATGGCATGGTATATCAATACATGATGATTCTAAAGATTATATACTTGTTCTGAAATATGCACCAAAGGGTTCTTTACGTGAAAATCTATCAAATTCCTCTATAAAGAAAATGAAGTGGGAGGATAGAATAAATCTTATACTTTGTATCGCATATGATCTCATGATAATTCATTCACAAGATCTTATTCACCGAGATTTTACATAGCGGTAATATTTTGCAAGATGAATTGGATATTGCTTATATTGCAGATTTAAGACTTTCAATATTGAATAATTTAGAATCAAATAATAATGAAGTAGCTGGCGTATTGCCATATATAGCACCTGAAGTATTATTCAAAAAAGAATACAGTAAAGCATCTGATGTATATTCTTTTGGTATTTTAGCTTATGAGATAGCCACGGGCTATTGGTATACTCTGATATTCCATACAATATACAACTTTCCCGTGATATTTGCTTTGAATCAAAATGTCCAACCATTCCACCAATATATGTTCCAGAGTTAGTAGCCAACTTGATTATTAAATGTTGGGATGCTCAACCAGAAAGAAGACCATCATCTGAACAAATATATAATGAAATAAATGCGTGGAATGTCGATATTTTAGATAAAAAGTCAACCGCATTGGTTGAACAAATAAACAGGGCTAATGAAGCACTATCCAACTCACCGCCATCTTCGAATGCATATTCTGAAGCGACAACTCATTTAAGCAAACGATTTAAAATTCTATCATCTAAAGGTAATAAAATTTATGATAAATAATTATTTTTTAATAACATTTCTATAATGTTTATTTTAGTATTACTCTAATAATTTTTTAAAATTTTGTCAATGAAGTTTATGACGAAAATAGTTTGATAAAACCATCTTACATAGAATTCTAACTTAGAACCCGAAACTATATATAAATCCCAGAATCGAAACTGAAACCTTAACCCATATTCAATATTCTAATACTATAATGCAAAGTTTAAAATTTTAAATTTAAGACTTAAATATAAGACAATTACAATAGATTGCATTCCAAGAGTTTTTATTGCTTATAATAAGTGTGCATTAATTATTAACATTCTAATTTGAAAGCGTCTGAAAGATTTTGGATTTCTAGTCACAAGTATAACATAGATCTGGATTAAATGAAGGAAAATGTTGAGCTATTAACATGAAATGATGTTGGAATAATAATTTTTTTCTTTTTCTGAATAATTACTTTTTTTTTCTTTTCTATTATTTAGTTATTTTGATCATATTTAGTTTATTGAATAATTTTTTTAATAAGTCTGGTCTAAATTTAATTTTCTCTTCCTATAAAATGCTGAATATTTGAATCGAAAGGTTAAAATGGTTTATCTAATCATTCGAAAGCCACATAAACAATAAAATCCCGAGGAAAGCAAAGATCTAATAATGTCATGACTTCGTCCAACAAGAACATTAAATAGTGATTCGTCTAAGAATATTAAAGATCTACCAACAATTCCAGTAATGTAATAAAAATATTGAAGAAAATAAATATATTATAAAAAATATAACTTAATATGTATGACCTTGTTTGATGAGAATTTTAATGAAAACGAAGAGTAATAATGTGTAACTTGTCCAATAAAAATTTAAAGAAGGTGACCTAATAACACTAACCAATCGAATAAGATTTTATGAAAGCGAAGATCTATGATCCATCTGTTTATTGAAAAGAAGCGAAGATTTTAATAACATCATATTAATCCAACTAATTTTAATGAGAATTAAGGGAAACGAAGTCCTAATAGTATTATGACTTTATCCAATGAACCGCTTAAAGAAAGCGAAAACCTAAGATCAACCTTTTAATAACAATTTTAAAAGTGAAGACTTAATAATGTTGGGTTTACTAATTTTCCCCACCACTTCACTATCAGAGTACTATAAAATTGATTAATAGCCGATATGTGAATAATTAGTAGATCCAATAAGAAGTAGTTAGTAATTCCAATGATGTCACGGTTCATCTAAAATATAATTTTAAAAAACGAAGACCTATTATGTCATGACCCATCTAATTACAGTTTAAAAATACGAAGACTAATTAATCTAGTCGATTAAATGAAAATGAAATAACCAAACAGAAAAACTTTCATACTTTAACAATACGAAAAACGGTTCTGGTTAGTAAATTTAGAATAATTAAGCTCGCATACTTATTTATTAAATATAAATGTGCCGGTTTGGTTATTTTCAAATGCAGTACATGCTAATAAATGAGTCATAAAAACACGGGTTGTTACTAACGTTGCAAACTTTATTAAATTTAAATGCTAAGTAAAATAATTTACTTTAAAAAATATTACCATATTAATTATCAAAATTACTATATTTAAATTTAGAATTACAAAAGCATAAAGTTAATACAATAATTCAATACTACAATATTTTTGCCATTGATAAATTGTATGATCAATTTAAGCTATCGCTGTCCATGATAAAAATTATTTTATTATACTGAAATCTTTTCGAACGTGTTTAGAAAAACAAAAAAGAACATTAAACCAAATAAATGTAGGTCGCCCAAAAGAAAAAATTATATAACAATAATGTTTGTTACTAATGACCAAAGATGTAAAAGAATATTGGTAAGAGTTACTTTCAGATAAAATTATTAATTATGTTTTTTATTATACGTACGTACTGTACGTACGTAGTTTAAATAGCTTGTAGATACATCATCAGCCTTTAAATAATGCAAAAATTATTAAATATACAAAAATATAATTAATTTTGAATATTGCTTTTATAATATCCAAATTAATTTAATTAAATTTGTAACGCTAGTTGTTACATAAGACTCGTACAAGTATATAACATTATATACAATTTTTGTACATTAATATTTAATATACGAATTCCATCTATTTCCAAAGTATATAAGTTGTGCTGTCATTCGTAAAGTATGACCCATTTTCTCTAATAATGTACAGAAAATTTTCACAGCTAATTTGCCCTGTATTGGAAGCTTAATTAATTTCAATAGTATCATATGTAATTTTAAGGACACTAACTTATACCCAATTCTGTCATATTCAAGAAGTTTGATTTAAAAATGTATATACTGTTGACCCTCCCAAAATCGATAACCTGTCAAATCTGATAAAAAATTAGTCTACCAAATCTGTTTCAGTTATATAAAACTAATAGTTTATTATGTTTTCAAATCTGAATAACCTCTCAATACTGATAAAAAGTCTGTCCACCATGCGTATTATCGGTTTTGGGAAGTTCAACAGTAGTCAACTCTATGACGAACTGATAGTTTTTGAACTAACAAAAAAAGTTTGCTATATAAAATTACTATGACTTTATTACTATGATCCTTTTTTATACTGAACTAATTATATCCAGAATTCGTTATTGAAAGGCTCGTTATAAAGAGATGTTATTCTTTATTATAAATCTATATATTAAGTAAAAATTTAATTCTCTTATCGTTCATGTTATTTATATCGATTTAGAATTGATAATAATTTAATTTAAGGTACAACATATATATAATTTAAAGAAACCTTTTTCGTAAAATAAAAATCCTAATTAATAATATACGTCAAAAAGTATAAAATTAATTCCAAATATCCAATTCTGTAGTTATTGTTTAGGATAACTTATTTCTAATTAATATAATTCTTGAATATCATAAATGTTTTTGATCTATCACGTAAATAATATTGTATATATCATTTAATTCACTAAACCGCGTAAAATAAGCTTTATTTTCATTATTATATATTCTACGAAAAGAGAAATACGCATTCTAAAATTTAATATTGTTTATTTACTTATATATATATATGTATATATATCTAATTAAGCGATGTATTTATTTAAATCACAGATTTTTATAATGTTAAAAGCACTTATTTATTCACAATTTTCTAATAAAAATTTCAAAGAAAATCAAAGCGTTATCTCGTATAAAACCCGATTAAA